CTTACTCCATTCTGACTCTGGTGCATAGTTCCTGTTGGTTATCTGTTGAGACGCAATGAACAAAACAAGTTAATTTGTATGAACATCAAGTTATTAAAATAATTGCTATGTTTTAAATTATTTTGGATTTACCTCTTTGGCCTTGGGGTCGTCTGGAGCAATGAACCTGTTGCCCTGGCTGATGATGGTGGGATGCATGCTACCACCAATGGCATACATTTTCCAGTGAGTGTAGTCATTATTGACAACATGAAAGAAACCCCATCTGCATCTAGGCATTCTTTGTATCAGTTCCTTGCCAAAATGGTTGAATGCAACTGTGACTTGCATGAGTTTATCTCTTGCGTAGGTGTCACTTGCACCCAACAGGATCACCTGAAGAAAAAACCCAAACATGCTTAATTAGTTGAAAACTGCGCGACAACATGTTGAAAACATGTGAACCTGTTTAGTGTTTTAAGGTAAAAATTATTACATCGTTATGATGGGTGAAATGGCAGTTCGAGATGGTGATTGCAGTTGAACCCTGGATTGCATCGATGAGTCCATCCTGACACTCGGACATGGAAAGATGATCCAGCCAAATGTTTGTTGATCCAAAGATGGAAACTCCATCTCCATCACCTACCGTCCGTAAACCGTAGTGATCCACGGAGTCCCTGATTAGGCCACCGTTACTTTTAACAATGTGATGAATATGAATGTTGTGAATAATCACATTGTCCACAAATTGAAGGGTAATGCCAGCTCCATAAGCAATGTGAACATTAGCTCCACGACCATCGATTGTCTTCTTGCTTTGGACAATTAGCTCCTGTGACAATTTGATGTTCATGTCATGAGAAAAAATGATCCACAAGGGCTTCTTCTGGATCACTGCGTGACGCAAAGTTCCTGGCCTGGGGTCTAACACATTATCATCAGAATTATCTGTCACCCTATAGTACTTTCCCGTCTTTCCTCCCTGAGTTTTATGGCCAAACCCAAGCACGCAATTCGCCAGCTTCTTACGATTCTTGGCCCAGTTCTTGTCGCATCGCCAGCACCTGTCAATTGGGTTAGTCCCCATGCATGGTCCAGTGTACGTTTTGTGCTTTCCCCTCAAGTTCCTCCTGGTGCTGTTAGTGCTAACACCCTCAAATTCCATGGTTTTGTTAGAACTAGCTTTTGCCATAGCCCTGCACCAAATTGTCCAAGAAGGATGAGTGTGCCTCTATTTAACATATAAGTTAGGGAAATGAATTTAGGATCTGTGGCTCTCCATCCATCTAAAGGATGGCAACCTGACTATTAAGCTAAAGACCTGTGACCATACAACTTGATAATTGACATAGACGATAATGAAAAAGGAGAGATGGAAAGAGAATGCCATAAGATTTACTTGTTAACATTATAGTTGAGGTTACTGGTGACATTTTCTGGGTTCGGTTCGTATGCTGCCAGGGTATTCTTCCAGGCTTCTTCCGCACGTGGCTTCCAAACGTCATCAAATTCAGCAATATTTGCCCACAGGCTTGGAATTAGGGCGGCAAAAGAAAAGAAGAAAACCAGTCTCAGCTTATTTACCTCCATTTCTTTTTGGGATTTTTTTTCTTGGTTCAATTGCTGGGTGATATGAGGGGCCTGACCACCCTGAACATTCAACCCAGCTACACCAAGAAAATGGTGCCTAAATATCTAAAGGCCTAAGCTGCCAACTTGGTTGGCGAAGCCTTGGGTTGTTCAGATCTGTGGAAACCAAGAGCATTTCGGGTGCCTTTAAATAAAACATCCAAGAAACTGTATTGTTCTAAAATTAGAGCGCAGAGAGTGGCCAACCATGTTTCTCTTACAACATTAGAAATCACACTGTTTTTCTCCACAAAAATCAAGAAGTGGTCTAAAACCAATGGTAGGCTCGCAATCTAAATTTGGACTCTTAATTGAACCAATGGCAGCAGCTGGTGTCACATTCAGGATTTTCAAGCTCCGAAATACAATCCAGACAACAGATCCTAAATGAAAGACTATTTTTATTTGTTTTAAGTTCTAACAAACCTCTTATTATCTGTCCTTTGCACAAGCTTCAAAATCCCATAACTGCAGCCAGCTCCTCATTTTTTGGTGCCTAGAATCCATTAAACCTCTGAAGCAACAGTTGGATACTGTTAAAAGTTTTCTCTCACAATTATCATTGGCTAGTATTCTTGAACAATCGGAAAAAAATACGGAATTTATAAAAAAATATGTGAGGAGACACTTTCCAGCAGAATTTTGTTCCCCATACACATGCTTAATACAAAATGAAACCAAATACACCCCCCCCCCAAAAAAAAAAAAAAAGTTCAGCCCCATTCGGTATTCGCCTACCGAATTCTGGGAGCAATTTGCTGATCTTGAGGGAATCAATGATAAATGTTCTTGGTGGAGGAAAGGAACTTGTCTGCCATGAAGTGAAATATGATCTTAGATTCTCAATATTCCGATTTGAGTTGAAAAATTAAAAAGACTCTCTTACAAATATACTTCAGTCAGAAGAAAACACTATTTTACATGGTGTACACAGTATTGGAGTTGCTGCTGAGTTTACCTAAGAAACATGACTATGGGGAACCCATCCTTAGAAACAGGGTCCACGTTGGTCTTAACAGGTAGGTTCAAGTCTTGTTGGACCAGGCAGAGATGATTCAGAGAGTTTAACAAATAGAGAGACAACTAGTGTCATATAAGCTTTACTTCACTTTATTTGAAATTGTTTAGGTGTTGGAAATCAGTAAAAGGCAAAAACAGTCTGTCAAAAAGAGAAATGCGATACAAACATTTAAAAATAGAACAGGGACATGGTCTCAAAGTATTGTTAGTCAATATCGTGTGAGTTTGTATAATCTTTTCTTCAATCTGAAAAGAATAGTGTAACTAAGAGTCAAGAAATTTTTTTTATACCAAAATGACACATTTATATTCCTTAATCCATTGTAATCATACATATCCATGCATTGCAGACAACAATCAGACAAGATGCCCATGAAAATGAAGTTTGGGAACCTTTCTGCCGGATTGGAATTTGTTTCCTAAATCTGCAGTACTTAGAAACTTTTAGTGGCTTTGAAATGTTTAAATTAATCAGTACATCTCTTGGCATTCCTTTGTCCACGTAAAGGATTCGACCGACAAAAGATTCAATGCAACAAAAGCATGAGCACGAAATGTTTGTTTAATCTAAACAGGAAAACTACTAAGTTTAATCCTAGCAATGCAACAGCGTTAGACAGATACTATAAAACATCTGTTTTCAATTGACATAACAGTATGTCACCCTAGAAAAATGAGTGATGTTCTCAAATTTCTTGCAGTCTCTTCCTCAGTTAACAAACTAGTTCCCATGTTGCAGATGCTGGTAAGAGAAAAGAGCAGCATACTGAAAAAAAATTAGAAACCATAATGGATGGTTATGCAGATATAAAGTACATGATAAAGCTTAACCTGGAGCTGATTTATGCAATCATTTTTAAAAAGTGGCATCCTGGATTTGACTTGCTTATGAAGAAGTTTTTTTTTTTTTTTTTTTTAAAGAATATACAAATCCTGTTAATAATGTTTATTATAGTCAAATAAAGAATAGAAGAAACCACATATGGGAAAGCCTTCAGACAAAGGTATTGACCTGCTTTCAATGATCCCTTGGCATTGAACTCTTCTAGATGTAAATAAAGAAAGATACAACAGGGCTCTTTATGGCAAAATTTCACATTTTAAAAAGTGAATTCATCACAACACTTATTCTCACACTTTTAACTACAATTAGAAAAATGCTTCCCCCGCCACTGTCATAAACTCGGTACTTCAATTACTTCCCTTGCAATTCACTTCTTTATTCCTTCTTCCTCAGCTTAATACCAAAAAATTCTGTGAAGCAATCTAAAATCTAAATCATAAGCTAAAGTACCTAGGTTGACAAGATGTAGTTAAATCCCATTTACTCAAATCCATGAAGGGTGTTTCAGACATTTTTATTGTATAGATATATTCATCCAAGACAGAAATGGATTTGACAGACAACATTTGGCCAACATGGGCATATGCTGCTCATTGAGATGACTATCACAATTAACTCTTCTTTCCTCCTGAAATACTTTTATAAAGAATTGAGGTTTTCAAGGGTCAAAAGATTATCCTTAATGTGATTTTCTATGATCCAAGAATTGTTGGTTAGATTGTCTAGGAAGTTCTGTAGGTTTCGTTAATATATATAGTACTTTTTCTTATAAATAAGGTTGTAGCTTAGAATAAAAAAGAAAATTATAGGTATTGAAATTTAAATGATAGATTTATTGAATGTTATTTTTTGAAAATGATTGTATAAAGTAAATAAAATAAGTTTCGGATTCAAGATGTATCGAATTTAGTTTTTTACTCCTAATAAGTGCAAAAGAAGAAAAAAAAAGCACAAAAAACATGAATCTTCTTTCGGTCTTTGAGAGTGAATTCATGAAAATTAAAGCCTACTGGCAAGATTTTTTTTAGAGTTTAGCCTATCTAGCCCTCCTTTACCTAAAGAAGAGATTAACCAGTATAACATAACAAGAAGGGAACTGGAATCTACCTTTAGATCAATGATGACAAAAATACCCTGACTTCCTACTGAAAGTAAAGATCTTTATAATCACCATGTCTAGCATTATCTGATACTTCACCATTACAAGAGGAAAAAATAAATGTAAAGAAAAAAAGTAGATGAATATGTTCTAAAAACATCCCCGTAATTCATGTAGAAGGGCAATAAATCAGGATTGGCAACATGACAAAAGCAATTTAAATTTAAATTAGACTTAACAATTTATGTATTAATATTTACTTATTTTATGTTTAACATGTATAAAATACGAAAATTATTATTTTACAATTCGTGTCATATATAACAAATACAAAACACAATTTTTTTTGTTTTTATCAAACTTATATATGATTTTTTTCAAAAAAATTTAAATTATGTTTCTTAACATTATATCTTGTTTGAAATTACTAGGTTTAATTTAAATCTTAAGGTTATTTTGGGGAATGGATTAAGAAAACTTTTCCATTAAGCTTCTTCAAGAACAGTTGATACTGCCTGACTTTTTATTTCTGACAAAGCAACCAACAGAGCATATATAAAGAGTGTCCATTACCAAGGTTCTATAGAAAAAGCAGTACATTCTTGTACAACCCTTCAATCACCAGTTTACCATGATTTCCCTGGCAGATGTCTATCATGTCGTCGCAGCCACTGTCCCGTTGTACTTTGCCATGATTTTGGCCTACATCTCAGTGAAACGGTGGAAACTCTTCACACCAGAGCAATGTGCAGGCATAAACAAGTTTGTAGCTAAATTCTCTATCCCATTGTTGTCTTTCCAAGTGATCTCAGAAAACAACCCCTACAAAATGAGCCTGAAACTCATACTTGCTGACTTTCTTCAAAAACTACTAGCCGTTCTTGTTTTGATAGCCATCAGCAAATTCAGCTCCCGGGGAGGTTTACCATCGATTATAACCGGCCTCTCGCTATCAACCTTCCCCAACACTTTAATCCTGGGGATTCCACTGTTGAGGGCCATGTATGGAGATAAATCAGTTGCACTCCTGGCTCAGATAGTTGTCCTACAAAGCTTGATTTGGTACAATTTGCTGTTGTTTCTGTTTGAGCTAAATGCTACAAAGGCAGCCTCTGAGACACCACCTTCACAACATACAGGTAGCTGGACATTCAAACACTGCATTACATATAAACATGGATTAATTTCATAAAATTAAACATACCCAAAATCAAGGGTTGATTGAATTTCAAGTTAGTTCAGTCAACTTTAGAAACAAAAGATAAATCAAGTGGGTCCAGATTACATAGGGGTTTCTCTCCTTCTCTCTTTCTCTTTTTCTCTTTGTTTGTTTGTTTTTTTTTTTTTTTTAATGTTTTCTGTTTCAGTTAAATTTTCTTCATTCCTTTTGCACGTGTATCACGTAAGACCCTTCACATAATGCATATTATATGTAATGACTACTAAACCATGATTTTGATGTCTGAATAAAATGCTTTCTTCCATTATTATATTGTTGCTGTTACTATTTTTTTTTTTTTTGTCTGAAATAAGGGGACCAAGAGGCCCCTGAAGAAGCACAAGGGAAAGAGGAAGGAGAAGAGGCACACACCAGACCAAGGAAATCAAAGACTATGCTCATTTTCTTGACTGTGGGGAAGAAGCTCATGGCAAATCCTAATACTCATGCAACCTTGCTGGGTCTTATTTGGGCAAGCATTCGATTCAGGTTGGATTATAGAAGCATTAGAGAAAATTTTAAGCCAAGATTTTCATCTTGATAAAGATTATTGGTGACTGATATTTCTTTTAACTTGCTGAAATCTCTTGTAGGTGGAACATAAAATTCCCTGCCATTATTGAAAAATCAATAGCAATATTATCAAGTGGAGGACTTGGTATGGCAATGTTCAGCTTAGGTATGATTATGCAGTACCATTCTTTTATTTTGGTTCAATGATTAGGTTACATGATAAGAGGTAAAATCCCATCCTCCAAGGGGGTGATACTTGAACCATCAGGCCGAAGGCGGCATAGGTTCATTACACAAACATATTTACGTAATCAAGAACTTGTTAAACATCAATTCTAACTCCTGCTGCTGTCACTTAATAGGTCTATTTATGGCATCACGGCCTAGCATAATAGCATGTGGTATTCGGATGGCAGCAGTAGCCATGATCATGAAATTCATGGCCGGTCCTGCTTTAATGGCAGCATCCTCTACTGCCCTTGGACTTAGAGGCAGATTATTAAGAGTGGCAATTGTGCAGGTTAGCCAACTTTGTATTATTCTTAATTTCTACTTACAATCAAGGGATGAAAGCTAAACATTGATACACAATCTACGTTCCAGGCAGCTCTTCCTCAAGGAGTCGTTCCATTTGTTTTCGCCAAAGAGTACAATGTTCATCCGGATATACTGAGCACAGGGTAATCAAACATCTGAAGTTTTTCAACATTATCTTTTCATTTGGATCCATTGAATAATGTGGTCTTGGTTTTGTTGGTTTCAGGGTAATCTTTGGCATGCTTATGGCCTTACCTGTAGCATTAGTCTACTATCTTCTTTTGGCATTGTGAAATTCCTGGAAAACTCTGCTAGTTATTCCAGAAACGGTAGTAATTTCTTTTTACCTGAAATCAATTCTGCGAAAGGGTCAAAAGTTTTTTAGATGGATATAGATGTCCAATTCAGTTTTCTGAAAATTCTTTGGCATTGTTGATTTTTTCCTTGGTGGAAAAGACTATAAGTTACATTTAACAAGAGTAAAACCCAAAAGCCATTTTCTGTGGTTTTTTCTTCTTTTTTTTTTTTTTTTTTTTAAAAACTTTGTTACTTTTAGAAATAGAACAGAATTAGCAATGCTGAAAGGTAAACTCTTTTATTTTCTGTGCATGATTGTCTGTCCCAGGAAGACCACCATGTTTGATCCATGAGCTGATAACATTAAAAGTTAGACAAACATGTTATAAATTTTACGATCTTTCATTCTATCTCCAATTGAAAAATTCATGTCCAAGCTAAGTATTAATATACACTACAAATTGATCTACATTTTCATATTCTATTTAAGTAAATGCTCATAGGTTTCCAATAATTATGTAGTTTTTTGATAAAGTACTAAAGTTTTAGTTCCAGCAATCAAATTCAAAATTTGATAATCTCAAATATTAAAAGGAAAAAACTATCAAGGTTATTTTCAAAAAATATCATCACCATTCAAGATAAATTTTCATCATCAGATTTGAACATCATTTTCCTACAGTAAAACATGAACTCTAGATTTACAAGCATGAATATGCCAATGTTATGTGAATGTGCCCATTAGTGCTTTATATCAACAAATTTTATTCTTTTAAAATTTTTTTTTTTTCAAGATTCGATAGATCACTCTCATTCCCACAAACAATAATCAAGTCTGTAAAATGCTTAAATCTGTCCACAATTTGTGCTAATGCATGTGTGGCCAATTAGTCCCCATGCACGTGACTGCTATAAGCATCAGACTTTTTTGCCTTTTTTTGCAGCATATTTCATTTAGGTTTCAGAATATATTCATCAAACAACTACCATTTACGTCTTACAATCTAAACACCCTGTAATTTATATATTTCAGTTTTAATGATTAATTTTCCGTAAAGAGAGAAACTTATAATAACTTGCTTAACATGAGATTTTTTAAATTTCTCATTCCATATATTATGAGTTTTAATTTTTTCTCATTAATTACGAGTTTAATTTATCAATTGGTCACATGAATAATAATAATAATAGATGTATTAAACGAATTTAAACAATAATAATCATAATAATAATAATAGATGCTATATTGAAATTCATTGATAAATTATAGTAGAAGAATAGTTAATTATTTTATTAAAAGATTTAAATGATAGTGAAATATTTAATATGATATTTAAATTTTAAAATTTTTTAATATAATATCTAGACTGTGAATTTGTTAATTAATGCGATACTCATTTTTAACATATCTAATTTTAAATGATGACACGTGATGAATAAATAATTAGTATCGCTTCAATTGAAAGATTTATAATTTAGGTATTATACTAAAAATAATTTCTCAATATTTTCTTTTTTAATTAGATAATTATTTTAAGAAGAAAATATCAATAGAGTTGTTGATTATCATCTTAATTTTTTATTTTTTAATTTTTTATAATTTTTTATACTCGACTTAATAGGTGCATTTTTTTAATTAGGGATTAATCACGATTTTTTCTTTTTCATTTTTAGAAACAAATTGGCACGGGTTAGAGGCAGACTTAGTTTTTTTCGACCTCTAACCCTTCAATTTTTTTTTCTTTTTTTAAAAAAATATTTTGTTTTTTTATATTATTTTTTATTTTTAATCATGCAATAAATTTTGCAAGTTTTCTTGCATTAAAAATTTTTTGTATGGTACCTCCCTCATTTTTTTTTTTTTTTAATTTGACTTTAATTTCTTTAATTTTTAATTTTTAGTTTTAATTAAATAAATTTTGTAAAAAAAATGTCAATGAAGATAAGAGTAAGTGATGACAAAACAACTTGTATTCTATGAGTTTTGATTTGTCTTGATCTAATAAATATATTTTTTAAATTAGAAATTAGGTAGAGTTTTTTTTTTTTTTTCCTTTTAAATTGGGATAAGTTGAAAATAGGTTTAGGATGTTTAGTCTCGCCTTGAATATATAAAATATATTTTTATTATTTATTTAATTATATATAGGTTTATATTATATAAAACCAAATTTCTGTCGCAACCATCCTTTTCATCGTTGATGTTCTGGTGTTGGTTCCATTTCAAAACTTAATTGCTCATTCTTTTTCAACCTTCTTTTTACCTCTTTGGCTTAGGTTTTACACAAAGACTTCTTGAAGTCGTGGATGTAAATTCGAAACTCAAACCCGTAGTCGTAGTTCAATGGTCGAAAAATCAATCTTCCTTCCTCCACTCTTGCTTATCTAGCTTCTGATTGACTTGATTTGACATTTTATGGGCCAAAGAGGCTGCAGATTCATGTTGCACCCATTAATGAAGCAGACTAATTTTACAAAAGTAATCAAGACATCACTTAACCATCATGAGTTCTGCCTATTACTTTCCTGAAATTTCAAAAGTTAGGAGCTTCTAAACCTATGGTAATTTATAGGTTATCTAATTCATTTGTTGATTATATAAAATTTACAACTCATTCATGTTAGTTCATTAATTCATCTAACTAAACGAACTACAATACTTTATTTCTATTAAGAGTTAGTTTTAGTTTATCTTGCAGATTGATCGAACCTTTTTTTTCCTTTGTGACCCTTGAGAATATTTATAGAAAAACTAGAATTATACTATTATATATGAATTTATATTGTTTGCAATAGTTTTTCCTTTGCGGTAATCATTCTTTAACATCCTAAAGCATTATTCAGAATTTTGTTCCCAAAAAATTTCTTACTAAGAATCACTCAGTTTTCATAATCTTATTTTATAATTTTTTAGATTGATTTCAGATTGGGAGCTATGGGACAAGCATAAATTTATTAAGAGTCAATACAAGTTATGATGTTGTGGAAGAGACACAGATTGATGTATAGACACTAAAGGGTCAAACGATAACAAATGGTCTGCTAGCAGGCAAAGTATATGGCTCGTTGAGGTACCAATAGAGTTGGAAATAGACATGGATTATTTGTATTCTATTCCAAATACAAGATGCCTCCAAAATATTTTTTTAACAGTTGTACAATAAATTCTACTATTATAGATGGGTTTACAATAGATTAACACATAGGGCATGAGTTGTTGCAGTTTGTTTGCTTTTATCACATTATTGAAGGCAAAATACAATTTGTTGAAGTGTGTCATTTGTTATGACGTTTTGAGTGATGACCTATTATTTTGAATGGTGGTGTCATTTCATCTGGTGATAATACACCCTGGAAGGACTAGAAGGTTGGGAAACCTAAACATGCCATAGTTCTCACAAATTGCAATGAAGAGTGATAAAATTATAAGTAACACAATGCATAGCATGGTCTTCCTATTAGTGCTACCGTCTAAATTAGGTCTTCTTTTAAATTTTATTGTAACATTGGAACCTCTGTATAACTTTCACACCTTTTATTCCTTACAGTAAAGTTGCTTTTTCTTCATGTTACCATCTAAATATTATCTATCACCATCAATTGTTGTATTGGAGCTTTTACATATGCATTCTCTTACCACTACAATAGACACGCACATACGCTCACTATTTCTCACTTTCATTTTTCATTCAAGTTTATGTTACACTGTATTTCCAAACTTTATATTCGTCATATCGATTTGTCATTACCTTCTAGCTATTGTTGTGGCGTGGCTTCTTTCAATGGCTTTTGCAAAGCAACTTAGATATCATCCATTTTATTTGAAATTTTCTACCAGTTCTATGACACTTCAAAAATATTTGGATAATGTTTAGCTATTATTTTTTAAGTTTAGTGTTCTTATAGTTTCTTAACGGTTGGAAAGTTTGGACAACTTTTTTACTATGAAAATTAAATCTTACTAGCAAGATTTTTTTTAGAGTTTAGCCTATCTGGCCCTTCTTTACCTAAAGAAAAGATGAAACGGTATAACTTAACAACAAGGAAACTATAATCTACGTTTAGATCAATGATGGTAAAAATACCTTAACTATCTACCGAAAATAAAGTTCTTTATACTTTTATAATCACCACGTCTACCATTATTTGATACCTAACCTTTATAAGAGGAAAAAATAAATGTAAAGAAAAAAGTAGATGAATATGTTCTAAAAACATTCCACTAGACATGATAATTTGTATACTTATGTTTATTTATTTTGTGTCTAATGTGTGAAAAATATGAAAATTATCATGTTATAATTCGTGTTAATATACTAAAAATAAAACATATTTTTTTTGTTTTTATCAAACCTATATATGATTTTTGTTAAAATCTTAAACTATAGATGTTGCTTTCCTATTTTTTTCGTCTCGTATCATTATATCTTGTTTGAAATTACCAAGTTTAATTTAAATCCTAAGGTTATTTTGGGGATGGATTAAGAAAACTTTTCCATTAAGCTTCTTTAAGAATAAGTGATCCCCCCTACTTTTATTTCTAACAAAATAACTTGTAAAGAAACTATAAAGAAACAAATGATCTGCCCTTACTCCATTTAGGGTTTTAGCATATATATTTATATTATGAGAGAGTATAAATACTTCAAGTATATTTGCACTTAACTAAATGTATATTTATTCATAACATTATTCTAATACTCCTTTTCAAGTGATTGGGGAGAACTCCACAAGAACTTGTTCTTAAATAAATGAAAATTAAGAAAGAAAATCCCTTGGTAAATATATCAAATAGTTGTGAATAAGAATGAACAAAAAAGACTTGAAGAACATGCTTGCAAACAAGATCTTGAAAAAAATGATAAGAGGTTTCTATATATTTTATGCAAGCATGAAAGATTGGATTGGCAGCAAGTTGAGTAGCACCCATATTGTCAGAGTAACAAGGTAATGCAAGAGGAAATCCAATCTCATTCAACATATAATAAATTTAATGTATATCTCAAAAGGCTACAAAAAGAGCCATTTACTTTGCTTCAATACTAGATTGAGCAACAAATACTTGCTTTTTAGTATTTC